AAAACACATTAGAGAGTGAACGGATAACAGGATAACAAATAATTCTAGGCTTGTACCAGTATTATATACGGTATATATTACCCACGATACTACAACTTTTTTACATTAATCATTGGATTTCAAATATAAATCAGTGCTACAATTGTATTATACAAGCATACATATTTCCCTATCAATTCAATATTAATTTCTAAATAGAATCGGTCTCGAAACATTGTCCAATTGGTTCCTATGTTGTTGATACTTTGATACAGAAAATATTTGCAGGAAAAGGCATGTGTCCCATGCCATGACAAGCGATCTGCCATGGTGGAACGCTATGGCCTGCAATCACACATGACCTTGCTCTACCTGTCCACCCACAGCACGAGTCTTCCTAACACATGGGTGCTGATGGGATATCAAGCGATGAGTCCCGACTGACTCAACGGCAGATGTGGGAAAGGTTGAAAACAGCTGATGCGGTTGAATGGCACAAGGTCGGATACCTTCAGCCACAGCAGAGCTTGACACGTGGCTGATGGGGATGAAAGCCAAGGGAATAATCAGCCTATGGCCATCTTCATAAGAAATGCGACGTGGAACAAGATGTGCAGTCGTCGCACGCCACGGCTTTAATGTACAGTGTACTGCAGAACAGGCTTTGATGTTGTTACAGGAGAGGAGTCCAGGACAGGAGAGGAGACCCAAAGACAGGACAAGATGCCCAGGACAGCAGAGGACAGGAGTGGAGCACCAACTACCATTCATTAAGAAGCTACATAACACTGCCACTCCTGAGTACTAGCATGTGCCAGCCCACTTATGTACTAGGTTTTCGTCAAGCTGACAGAAGTTGTAAGTGTGTAAATCATTGATGCTAGAACTGTTGTATAAATGCACATGTATTGTTAACATGAAGTTGTCTAGCTACCGTGTTTACATCGTTACTCAAATGCAAAGTCGTGTTTTTCATTGAGTTTGGTTTTTAGACTTCAGCTATTCAGTAATCGAAATAGTGTAACAGATTTTTTAGTGACAAATTCTGAACATATGTTACTCATGGCAGTGGCAGTGGCAGTGGCAGTTGATAAATGTTTTTAATTGATTGATCAGTAACAATAAGCCAGTTTTGCTTGGTAACCCCATTTATTAGTCAGGTCACAGGTTTCAGTCATAGCTTTTAGTTGTTATAAAACATATAATTTCACAAAATTGAAGCTCAAACTGCATGGCAGCTGAATGGTCAATAACTTTATTATATTTTGCGTAGTACAGTAGGGCCAGCAGCGTATAACCATACATAGATAATAGCAACTCTGTACCTTAGGTAGTGATGCACCGGCCGCGGATGTGGGCACCGCCCCTACATTAAGCATTCAATATAGGGCTAGCACCATCGTGTCAATCACCATCGCGCAGGCCGCGCGCTTCCTCCCTTTAGGAATCAGGTTCAGAGGGTGGGTCAGGATCGGTTTACGTTCGCGTGTGCCAGGGGGGTGAGACAACACCTTGGCTGGTCAGAGCATGGGAAATCACACCTCCCCCCTCCCAAGAGCGTGGGAGTTAGGGTTGGGGTGTCCGGCTCGCAGGTTTACCCTGGCACAATCACATCATATATTTTTTATTTTTTTATTTTGCATCTACTCGACTATAAATGCAAAACTGGCTTATTAGTTTTGATAACCGTTATGTACCGTGATAAGGAATCAATTGACTAATAATTACTATTAATTTTATAATTGTGTAAATTGTAAAAATTGCAACTTGCTGAAAACTTTGCCACTATGTGGCAGTTAGAGAAGTGATTCACCACTGACGACCTGGAAGTGCACTGATTCCTTATCATGGATGTGTATTTTCTATTGCATTTGTAAATGTTTGTAATTTGTAAATTTGAAGTGAAATTAAATTGTAGGAGATAGCTTTTCCAGGTGAGCAATCGTGAGCGTGATCCGGAGCAAAATCGTGTGAGTAAAAGAGGGGTAGCGAAGGGGGAGGGGGAGGGGGTGATTGGGCACAGGGGAGGGAAGGTGGGAATGGGTGGAGGGGGAGGAAGGTCAAGGTGGGTGGGGGGAGGGGGGAGGGGGAGTTAGGTTAGAGCTTGCAATGGGGCAGCATAGGTTAGGTTAGCTAGAACTATAGCCCCAATGGCTCCGCAGCAGGCCTGCGGCGGCGTATTGGTGGGTTATAGCCCTGCTGCGTTAGAGCGAGGGCTATAGTTCTAGAGCTTAGGTGAGTGAGAGTGAGAGTGAGAGTGACACAGAGGGAGAGAAAGCGCGCGTGAAAGCGAGAGCGAGGGAGATTAACAGCGTGCGTGGAAGTGCGTATGAGTCTGGGAGAGCACGCGCGAGAGGGAGAGAGGGAGAGCGGAGAGATAGGTTAGATAGAGAGATTAGAGAGATAGGTCATGTATTTTTAAAAATAAAGACTTCTATATTTTTCATATTAAATCTTTTATTTTTAACAGTAATATGAATGTTGTACAATGGATATACAAATAAAACGTTATTCTAAACTACTTCTATAACTACTACTACTATTCTAGTCTATTTCTTTACTACCTTTCTATCGTCGTGAGTTTCTGCAATGCATTAAGACAAAATACAAAGTTATACTAGACTAAAATTCCCTAAAATCACTTAAAACTACAAGTAACTGCGCAAGTACTTGTGAAACTGACAAGTGACTTGGGAATGACGGAACTTGCTAGAAATCTATTAATATCAAGAATTCCTTATAATATATCTTACTTATGTGATATATACTCCACTGTACATAAGATACAAACTCAAGGTAACCTAGTATAGTAAAACTCGCATAAGTCGGCACTTTTGGGAGCAGCATATTTGTGCCAACTTACGAAAATGACGACTTACGCGTAAGTCGTCATTTTGTCGACTTATACAATGTATGTAATGCACGTATACACTGTATTGTACACTGTTATTAGCTGCCTTGCGATCGCTGAAACCAGTAGGCTATGCATAATGAACAAGCGAGCAATGGGAATGAAGCAATCACTGCATACAGTACACAACATATATGCAGCAGACAGCAACAAGTCTAATGATGAGCAAGCTTCTCTGCGTTCACACAGTGTACATCGTGCATCACATAACGTATGTAAATTACACTATTAGTCTATAGCAACTATATTAAATTATTCTTTCTTTCTCTCGCCTCTCCTCTCTCCTCTCTCTCTCGCCCTCTCTATTTCTCTCCATCTCACTGTCTCTCTCATCTATATTTGGCCTACTCGTCTTCCTCTCTTTCTGTCACTCTCACCCCTCTCTCTTTCTCGCGTGCACGCTGTCATCCTAGCTGCCTCTCGCTTCGCCGATCTATCTATCTCACTCTCGCCCTTTCTTTCGCGTGCATTCTCTCTCCCCTTCTCTCGCTCTCACCCCCACTCTCTCGCTGTCACTCTTTCATCAATATTTGGCTCGCTCTTGCCTTCCCATCTCTTTCTCTCGCTCTCACCGCCCCCTCTCTCTCTCTCTCTTTTTATCTATCTTTCATTCGCTTTCTTTAACTCTCACTCTCATCATCTCTCTCTCTCTCTCGTTCTCTTTATCTATCCATCGCTCGCTCTCGCCTTCTCTAACTCTCACTCTCATCATCTCTCTCTCTCTCTCGTTCTCTTTATCTATCCATCGCTCGCTCTCGCCTTCTCTAACTCTCACTCTCATCATCTCTCTCTCTCTCTCGTTCTCTTTATCTATCCATCGCTCGCTCTCGCCTTCTCTAACTCTCACTCTCATCATCTCTCTCTCTCTCTCGTTCTCTTTATCTATCCATCGCTCGCTCTCGCCTTCTCTAACTCTCACTCTCATCATCTCTCTCTCTCTCTCGTTCTCT